ACTTACCTCTTTTCATTTTATAATTCTGAATGAATTTCACAAAAAAGCCATCAGGTACTTCCAAGTTTCATTAATGTTGGTTGTAAAATTTCTCAAAAGAAGCCTTGCTGAAATCCCATGACCCAATTATGCTTTTGTTATTTTGCTCTGTTCCCATAAAACTAAAGTGATAATAACATACAGGATGATTTATAATATATAAAGCACTGTCAAATGTATCATCCCTTTGAATCCTCATAAAACTCTGTAAGGTACATAGAACATGTAATAAGAAAGGTTACGGGACACAAGTTAAAGTCACATGGCTATTAACTTCTGATTCCAAAGCCATGACCTGTGTCCTTGTACACTGTGACTTTCCTCATTCTTTAAAGGCCCAGCCTAGGCTCCCAATAATGCCTTTATTTCCAGAAACAGTTTCTCTATCCTCTGATGACCCACAGACTCTATATTTCTCTTATGACACTTAACATAGCCCATCTTTGTTACATTTACAGATCTATGGGTCTTAACATGCTTTCAATGAAAGTTGCTAAAAGACAGGGACTGGGTCTTATTTACCTTTATATTGCCCATAGCATCTAGAAACACGCACATTTTACTTGATGACTAGTGCACTTCCCTGTTTATGTGGGTGGTCTACTTTTTTAGGAACTTAATAATAAAACACATTATAAATTTAAATGTATAGTATTTGTTTATCAGTTGTACTTTTTTAAAAATACTCACCTGAGGATATGTTTTTATTGAAGAGAGAGAGAGAGAGAGAGAGAGAGAGAGAAGAGAAGAGAAAAACATCAATTGGTTCCCTCCCATATTCACCCCAATCAAATCGGGGATGGAACCCGCAACCTTTTGGTGTATGGGATGGCTCTCCAAGGCTCCAATCAACTGAGCCACCTGGACAGGGCACAGTTATACTTTAAAAAATAAATTTATATTTATTGTTGAAAAATATTATAGGTAACCCTCTTTCCCCCCATTGAGTCCCCTATAGTTGTACTTTTAACAAATAAGGTTGGACATCAGACTTTTGAACAAGAATTACAATAGCCTTAATTAAAATATTATATCTTTTGGAAAAATCAACTTGACTTACAGTATTACATTTATAATTTCTTGCTTCCAGGGAATACAGTCTGCATTACTTAAAGGCTTCTTATATTGTATTAGATTAAACTTTAATTGAATAAAAAAGGAGGAACTCTTCAAGAAAAGGTGGGAGACTCAACTCTAATCCTTTTCAGTACTGCCAGGAATATTTTTATTCCTTGAATTCTGGGAAGCAAAATAGGAGAAAGAATCCTGATTCCCAAAGTAACACCTAGGAATGTTTACAATTCTGTAATCTGCTTCTGATCTTCTGCTAAAGGCAAGGAAAATGTGTGAGAAGGAAAGTCTATTATTTAAATAAGTTACACACATATAAAATGTATATTATACTTTCAGCTAATGTATGAACTCTATTGAGTTTTCTTATTGAGCAATATTCTTTTGGAGGGAATAAAAGGATATGTATAATTCTACTAAAGCTCATGGACTATTACTATTTCCTATTTCAAGAAATTAGCCTATAATTTATACATAGCCAAGGAAGAGAGGTAAGAAAATTCAAGATTTATAGCATATCCAGAGCTCTGGCATATAAAATTAACCAAAAGGCTAGGTAGCATTTGTAACTTTCTTTAGCTTTTCAACAATTATCTTATTTGTAGAATCATTCTAAACATTCTTGAATGTGATCTATGTGTTGTAAATAAATAAGACTTATCAAAATACTACTGAATGATTGCATTCTTATTTTTATATACTTGGTTTGACTCAAAAGTCAAATATGACTGAGCTTCAAAGACTTACATAGGTGTGTCTCAGGAAAACAGAAAAATCTAAAACATTTAAAGAAGGGAAGGAGGAAACTAGTGATGAATCAGGAGACTACTATCCTATATTAGCAAAAATATCCTTTATGAAAGAATTTCCTTTGGGAATCATTTATATAGCACCACTAGAATGTTTAAAACATGACTTGATATTTAATAACTCAATGCATAGCAAATCTTTAAGAAACCCACTTGTAACATAAAAGGTATATCAGTATTTACAAAAACACTGATAATTTCTGAGGCATGTATTAAAGCTTGTGGCCCAGACATCCCACAGGAAATAAGAGCACCTGAATTATATTATACTAGAGGCCCGGTGCACGAATTCATGCACAGGTGGAATTCCTTGGCCTGGCCAGCGATTGGGGCGATGGGGGCCATCTTGCCCAGTCCTGATCAGGGCCGGCCAGCTGGGGTTTGGGGAGGGACCGTGAAAGGTTGGCCGGCCGCAGGAGGTTGGCTGTGGGAGTGCACTGATCACCAGGGGGCAGCTCCTGCGTTGAGCATCTGCCCCCTGGTGGTCAGTGCATGTCATAGTGATGGGTCGAACAGTTGCTAAGGCTTTTATATATATATATAGAAGATAGCAACCTTAAATAGGTTCTGAAAGGATTTAGAAAACTTTTCAAATGAAATAGTTTCTACTCCATAATGACTTTGATACTAATTATATATTCCTATTTCCTAAATTATACCTCTTTTTTATCTCTAAACTGGTTCAGGAACTGCAAATGACAGAGCAAAATACCACTGAAATCTTTTCAGTACTGGAAATTATATGGAAAGTTTGGAAAAAGTTACAGGATAGGGGAAATAAGAGGGTAGGGATATTAAAATTAGTCATTTTATTTAGTTCACAAATTTAGGAGTTTCTATGTTTCTGATCATTATTCTGTTAGGTAAGGTGCCTGGCATGTGTATACTGGGAAGGACTTAGACTGGAGGTAGGTACAAGCAAGAGTACTAACCAGAGTTCTGTTATTTATAAGTTGTATAAGTAACTTATTATCTATTAGGCCTTAGATTCCACATAAAGAATGATTTCTAGAACCTATTTAATTTTAAGATTAAGAAATTCTGAATGTTTCAAATTCAAGTCATTTTAATCTTCATATCCTGATGTACAAAATATACAGGGATTAAAAATCAAACAAACCAAATAACTAGTTGTAGCATACAGGCAAGGCCTAGCTATACACTAAATTTGATAAGTCAAATTTGAGGCCAACTTTTCACTTTTTGATATATAGAATAAGGCTCTTAAATCATCCTAATGAAGACAAAACTCACATCACAAGATAATACTTTAAATCCATATAGACCCTTTTAAAGCACTTTACAGAAATTATCCAATTAGCTTTTCTGACCACTTCTGTGAAGCATCAGGTATTATCTGATATTTTCCAAAGGAGGCAAAAAGAAACAAAGGAACTAAAGTTATCACTTTGCCAATGACATGGCTCCCTATTCCACATCTAGTGTTTTAACTTGTGAAAAAAGTGGTCAGCTCCATGAGAAATTATATTAACTGAAATGTCTCAGCCTTTTGAAAAGTTTGACTTCCCACAAAATGTGAGTGTAGAGACAGTCTATTGTTTTGCTCAGCATTTCACCTAATAACTTAGTTCAGTATTTTCCACACTGTAGACACTCAATGTGTATTTGTTCAATGAATAAAGGCTATTAATGATAGCTAACTATTAATAGAGCTCATATATCAGGTGCTGTGTTAAGTACATCACATGTATTATTTCATTTACTCCTACAACAACTCAAAGAGGTAAGTAAATTATTACTTTTCATTTTAATGATGAGGAAACTAAGGTCTAGGTTAAGTAACTTGCTCAAAATTACAAAATGATAAAGCCAGTATTTTTTATAATTTTTATTTTTTAAAAATATATTTTATTGATTGTTTACAGAGTGGAAGGGAGAAAGAAGGATAGAGAGCTAGAAACATTGATGAGAGAGAAACATCGATCAGCTGCCTCCTGCACACCCCCTACTGGGGATGTGCCTGCAACCAAGGTACATGCCCTTGACTGGAATCAAACCTGGGACCCTTCTATCCGCAAGCCGATGCTCTATCCACTGAGCCAAACCAGTCAGGGTTAAAGCCAGTATTTTTAGCAAAGGTAGCCCAATTTTAGACCTTGTTTAAAGATCATCATTGCAGAAATAGACTTGCAATAAGAAACTATATATTCTATTCCCTCTATAACAGTGATGGCGAACCTTTTGAGCTCGGTGTGTCAGCATTTTGAAAAACCCTAACTTAACTCTGGTGCCATGTCACATATAGAAATTTTTTGATATTTGAAACCATAGTAAAACAAAGACTTGTATTTTTGATATTTATTTTATATATTTAAATGCCAATTAACAAAGAAAAATCAACCAAAAAAATGAGTTCGCGTGTCACCTCTGACACGCTTGTCATAGGTTCGTCATCACTGCTCTAGAACTTAGGAGAGAAATTTCTTATTGATCTTTATATCACTTATAATGCCTAGTATAGTACCTTAATCACACTATTTGTTATCAAATGTTTCCTGAATAAAATGTAAAATTGTATAATCAAATTAGGCCTCACTGTCCTTAATTGTAAAACAGAGATAAAGGTGCCTCACTAGTTCACAAAGTTTGGTCCCTGGGTCTGGCAACTGTCAGAAATGCAAATTCTCAAGCCCCACCCAGTCCTACTGTTTTAACAAGCCTTCCAGGTGAGTCTCAGGCATGCTGAAGTTTTAAAACCTCAGGTCAATGTTACTTACAAGATAATTATGAGAATTAACTGAAGTCAACAGTGTGGAATCACCCTAAAAAGTGAAAGGTATATCACCATCACCATCATCGTCGTAAGAGTAAATTGCATTCCTTGAATAAGCTTAGTGATTTTGCTAAATCCAGATGAAAATAAACATGAAAAATGAAATAGATCGTGAAACACTTTTTAAATAAAATATTGTTTTAGATTTTATCTGGATAATGCACAGCATTCATGGATTCAGAGAAAAAGAGGACTATGAGCCATAAAGTTGTACAAAGAAATGTGATGATCTGGTTATGTGGCAGTTCAACCCAGAGAATCTGACATGCTGTACACAGGCTTCTTACCTGACCAGTGTCCTGTGGAGATGCCATATCGGTCTGTGCAGGTCTCACTTACAGGTCTAAACACAGTTTCCCACCCACCAGTAGCATAACGCCAATTCTGAGACTCCAAGATCAGTGTTCGCTGGGTGCCATATGCAATCATGAAGCAGTAGACCACATGATGGAGTTGACAGCCGTAGCCACAGCCTTTGTTGATATTACACACTAGCTTCTTGGCTTTGCTGCAGTCCTTGGGATTCTGTCAGGGAGGAAGAGAAATAAAGGTGAAGATAAGCTGTACAGAGAAACTTCTCTTCATAGATGACAAGTATATAACTCATATAAGCCAGGACTGATCCAGTATATTTTATAAGGCAAAGAATCGAGCTTTAAAGATCAAATTTCAAAAATCTACTGAATATTTTATGTGCACACTTAGGGAGATGGCAGTGAAAAAAAAAGTTACTTGGGAACCACAAAACAAACATAAAATTAAGCAGTAACATTTAAAAGAATACTATTTTCATTTCTCTATCATGCAGAACATCTCTGAACTCAAAGCTGTGTACACTGAGATATTTATTTCAGCTACAATTCAGCATTCTGAGCTTACATTCCCTGATGAAGCTGAAGTCATTTTAAAGGAAAAAGTATAATATACCTACTAATTCCACCTATCTCCAGAGGTCTAGATGTCATGAACAAAATCATTATGGAAGTAAAGCCACTGAGTAAAATGATATCTGAGTTCAACAATTATAAAATATCAGTCATGGAACTTAAAAAATCACACCAATTTTGACAGTTACTAGTAATTTTCACAATAAAATGCAGAACATGTTCTATATTTACTTTCTT